TGACTGATGGCTTAGGCCCGAGCAGGTGACAAGATCAAGGAACACGCACTTGGCAGTGGTTGGAAGAGCAGATTGGAAGGATGTGAGAGACTGTCTTCATACCCCTATGGAGGGCAGCCTGAGTCATGAGGAACGAAAATGGTGGGTATGAAGGACACGTCTATGTCCTTTAACCTCAGGAAACATCTTAGACAAAGGGTGCTCCAGGCAATTTAAATGCCTAACGCCTGGAAATAGGAACTGCATGATGATCATTGTTGGAATCATTGACTATCAGAGCCAAAGGAAACCCAGAAATCATGTAATCATTTTATAGGGAAGCAAGCGGGTTCAAAGAATGAAGTGATTTGTCAAAAGTTGCAAAGATACTGAGTTCCCAGTCGGGGGGAGGAGGGGGATACTAAAACCCAGTGTATTCCATCCCAGGGAGCCCAGGGGCTTCCCCTACGAATGGTGTTTGGTTTTAACTGTTTCGCTAAGGCAGCCCTGATGCATTCTGTAGTCTTTGCTTACACACTGGAGGCCATCCGTCTCCGCGGCTCTCCTCCACGGCCCCTTACAATCATGGTCCTCTCTGGCTGCTTGCACCATCCGCTGGCTGGGCTGCCACTTCCTGTAAAAGCATCCAGCGCTGAGCCTGCCGGCGTCACCTTTCCCTCACACTGCGCCTGCGCTGGACAGCCCACCCGAGTTCCAGAACAAAGCCTGTTATTTTCCCCGAGACTCCCTAGAGCAGCGGTTCTCAACCTTCTGGCCCTTTAAATACAGTTCCTCATGTGGTGACCCAACCATAAAATTATTTTCATTGCTACTTCATCACTGTAATGTTGCTACAGTTATGAATCGTAGTGTAAATATCTGATATGCAGGATGGTCTTAGGCGACCCCTGTGAAAGGGTCGTTCGACCGCCAAAGGGGTCTCGACCCACAGGTTGAGAACCGCTGCCCTAGCTGCTAATGGACCACCCAGTTAACACAGGCTTGGAACTGGAGGCACCTGTAATCGCAGCCTCTCTCATTTGCTCCCCCCAGTGCTTCCTGAGAGGCCATTTCCTTTCCATTTGACTGACACCATCACTGCCCAGGACTGTGATGTGCTTATATTCTAAATGGGTCCCTGCCAATCATCTCTTCCTTAACCAACTGTTTTCACGTTGCCTTTTTTTAACAATATATTTTCTATTGATTCAGAGAGGAAGGGAGAGGGAAAGAGAGAGAGAAACATCAATGATGAGGGAGAATCACTGATCGGCTGCTTCTCGCATGCCCCACTGGGGACCGAGCCCGCAACCTGGCATGTGCCCCAACCAGGAATAGAACCGTGACCCCCTGGTTCATAGGTCGACGCTCAACCACTGAGCCACGCTGGCTGGGTTCACAGTGTCTTTTAATTGCCCTTCGAAGTACACATTTGAACCCATCATAGTTCAAGCTCTCTTGACTTCTTGAGTTAAACAGCCTCCTGAGCGTTTGTAAATATTTTAGGCTTTGGGGACATACTCAATGCTGCCCTGGCAGTGCCATATATAACAACTTAATGGAGGCTGTGCCCTGTAAAACTTATTATGGGTGCGTAACTTTTATGTGTCACAAATTATTATTTTTCCTTCTCCCCACAACCATGTAAAAGCAGAAAGCCATTTTTAGCTCAGGGCTCATACAAAAACAGAAGACGGGTCAGATTTGGGCTGTGGCTGCTGACTCTGTCCTAACTGGTCTTCCTGTTCCCACACTAACTCTCCAAGTTCATTCTCCACACTGCTGACTGGGTCAGCATCCCACCCAAAAGCTGATCATGCTGGAAGCCCTGCTTACGATACAAGAGTAGCCCATTACACTCAGAATAGAGCCAACTCCAGAACTCCGCCCACAAAGCCTTCCCCCTGGTCCCCGACCCCGTTCCCCAGGCCTTTCTCTTGCCAAACACCTGGCCTGGTGTTAGAGTTGATGTGCTCTCCCATCTTTGCCTTCGCATCCATTGCTCCCTGCAGCTGGGATACTCCCCCACCTTCTTCCACTCTGAGAACTCCTCCTCCCGAACTAGTAACACGACAACTGCCAGACGTCTCCTCCTCCAGGGAGTCTTCCCGACTGTCACCTTCACTTCCAATGCCGAAGGAGCCAGTTCTCCCTCTGTGTGCTCCCGTGGCCACCTTCATTCCTGTCATTGCACCGTTATCACACTCCATTATAACTGTGTATATCTCACTCCTTAAGAGAGTGGGAGAGTGTGAGCAACCTCAGGTGGGACCCGAATCTTTTTCCTCTATGCCAAGGGCCAAGCAATGTGGTAAAAGACAGTAGGTGCTCAATTAATTATTTGTTGAATAGATGAATGTCATACTTACCAGTTGGGTCTTTCAATAAATACTGAATTTCTATTTTTTATGTCAAGTTAACAATAAAGGGAAATACCAAAAAAGGGATAGATTACTTTCCTTTCAGATTGATCTACAAATTTATACTCCAGTTTTTACATTTTCTTTGCCTGGAAGATTTGGATTCTTATTTCATTATTACTTATGCAGTGGTTCTCAACCTTCTGGCCCTTTAAATACTGTTCCTCATGTTGTAACCCAACCATAAAATTATTTTCGTTGCTACTTCATCACTGTAATGTTGCTACTGTTATGAATCGTAGTGTAAATATCTGATATGCAGGATGGTCTTAGGCGACCCCTGTGAAAGGGTTGTTCGATCGCCAAAGGGGTCGTGACCCACAGGTTGAGAACCACTGCTTTATAGCATGGTTTTCATATTCAATTTTAAACTTTGTTTAGACTATGACATTCAAAATGTTTATGTTAAGAATAACTGAAGAGCTACCTATATGGGATTTATTTCTTTCAGCTGGAATATATGGGGGCGGGGGGCCGGGGGGGGGACAGGGGGAGAGAGACCCATGTTTCCCAGACACACTTGAGAATACTGAATCAACAAAGAATCATGAGGGGAAGCAAACGCTAAAAAAATCTCAAAAAGTTTATCAGAAATATTTACCCCCACGACCAAGTCACATGCGAAGAGAGAGATATACAGCCCCTTACACTTTTATTCCACCTTCACATTCCTATTTTTGTAAAATAGGGGAGTGTAAAATGCTTACAAAACAGCACCACACCCAGAAAACAGGGAATCACCCTTTATTTCCTGTAAAAGTGGGTTAAATTCTTATAACTTGGTGTGAATAAAGCTCAGTGGGAAAAGCTTTGTAGGGAAGCCAGCAAAACTGTTCTCCTTAAGAACAAAAGAATTCGTTACCACTAGTCACTTGCAGAGGTGCTGTATCTTAACATGCTTTTCTTGCAAGAAATGGATCTTGTCAGACGGTACAAATGGACATCTCGCAGGAACTCTCCACGAGCTACGACTTCAGAAATGAACTCTCAGAATCAGACAGAAAGGCAAAGGGGGCAAAGCCGGTATTAATATTTATTTACTGACGCTCAGCCACAGGGAGACATTAAAGCCGTCCTATTTCTGCGGTTTGGCGGGGCTCAGCACACAAACCGTTGCTTCTCAATAGAAGTCTGACAAGAAAAACTGTTCACTATCATGATGGAACTGAATTCCGAAACAGCCATGCTTCAATAACCCATAGAAACTCTGTTAACGTTACATTCTCAGCTCTAAAGAACAACGCTTTAATGGGCATTCAAAGAACAGTTATTATTCTGCAGTATTAAGCAATTTTTTTGTCATAAAAGTGCTTTATCTATTGGGATTTTTTTCCAGATATCACACATGTTAGAAATGATGTACTTTCTTTCTTTCCTTCTCTCTCTCTCCTTCTCCCTTCTCCTTTTCTTTCATTGTTTAAAGGGGAAGTTGGCAATATTCCATTTGGAATATTATCATAACAAAATGTTGTTTTTTTAACAAAGTTTGATTTTAACAGAACTAGAGGCATCTTGACACTAGCCTAAAACTTTGGGAGGTTCACCAACCTCCAGATTTTTTTTTCCCAAAAGCAGGCTGTTCAAGTGGTGTTTTTCTCCATCTGTTATCATACCGTGCTCGGAATTACATGCTCATATTTAATGGAAAAGGGATCAGTCCCCTTTCATAATTTAAATTCAACATTTTACTATGATTAGAAGACCAGTGTTTTTCTAAGCGATGAACCAAACCAACGATTCTAAATCGACATGTGTATTTAGACAAAGTTCTCCCTAAAAGCCGAAAAACTCCCCAAACTGAATAATCTCAAAGGCTTGACCTGAAAATTGAAAATTATACTAAAACTGAAAGTGAGAAGAAACCACTTACAGGATAATGAGAAATATCTCCGGTCACAGTGTGAATTTTTCTCTGCTGTATTTCTGTGTCTGCGTCTGCGTGTGTGTTTTCAACATAGCAAATTACACAATGTTTGCTACCAAAAATACCTTATTGTAATTTGGGGCCGAGTTAGGTGTTTACTGAAGTTTTATGACAATGATACTCATATCACAATACCCCCTGACAGAAACAGTAGGCAGGGAGACCAGGATGGTGCGAGCCTGGTTATAATAATGCCTTAAATGTGAACAGTGCAATCAATTTCATGTCAAAATCTTACACCTCCTTAGGACCCAGGGTCCTTGTTAGTAGCAGTTCCATCTCCATTTGCATCTCAGGATGCCTTTCATTTTGCCTCTTGAACCATGTCAGTGTCTGATCACTTCCCTGCATACATTCCTGGGATCCTTCAGTGCGGCATTTGTATTAGACACAGGATTAACACGCGAGGTGGTGGTAGGAGAAATATGTCATGTTGCTTGTATTGATGGAGAATCGCCTAAATATTTGAGCATCTTTTGGGACAGATCAGTAACTCCCTGCCACACTCATCACTCACATGTCGGCGTGTTTTGCTTCTATGCCTGAGAGCTGTGTGTGAACGGGATGCCTGAGACTAACTCCAACAACTGTTTAGAAGCCTGTGGCAACCGCCGGTGGGCTGAATGGGGCCACGGTGGGGAGGGGGGCCAGGGGGTGCGGGACGGGGTCAGGGGTACCTGGTGAGGTGCAGCTGGCGCTCGGCCTCGCCCAGCCGCTCTGTCAATGTCAGGAGCTCCTCGCCGGCCCCCGCCGCCTTCTGCTGCTCCTGCTCCACGTGCTGCCTGCTCTCCCTCAGCTCCAGCGTCAGTCTCTCTATTTCCTTAGGTAGAGAGGCAGGGAGAAAGCATCCGATCAGACACAGGCGCTGGGAGGCAAAACTGCCTCGTTTTGGGTTTTGCCATGAATTTCAATGTGATAAGAAATTATTAGGAAATGTAGACCAGCGTCCATTTGATGACAAAGGGAACTAGCAAAGCCAAAAATGCACATTAGTGAGGGGTTGTTTTTTGGGGGGATGAAGTCTGATTTTAATGATGAAATGAGAGTAGTCAAGATGGGTAATCTGTACTTTCATTCGAAGGCTCAGTCCCTTTAAAAATAATCTGAATTTAAACTGTCACTGCTTTTACAACGTAACATTTCTGTTTGTGAGAGTACATCAGATACATGCCAGGATTACCATCAAACATGTGGCTCCCTCCTGAAAGATACATTTATGGCTTTTATTTGGATATTTTGAAAACCAGATTAATGGGTAATATAATTTAAGATATCTTTTAGAAAATGTAAGGTGTAAAAGGAGGTATCATGATGATGATAAATATTATTTAGAAAAAATATGATTTAGGGAAAAAAACCTTTAAGCATTTAGAGTGTATGGGATTTCTGAGCTAAAATAATATTACATTGAAATTGCATTATAAAAAAGCAACAACAAAAGTACGCTCAGTTCATAAATATGAACATCTAAAATATGTGAACATTTATGTTGGCTAATTTCTTAGTCTTAGGGTGAAATTATCTTTATCTTGCTGAAATGCAAATATTTCAAAGCAAAAAATGCTTACATAGAACATAGTTTTAAATAATTTATACATTACAGTAGGAATATTTATTTATTATAGAACACCTATAAAAAATTTTTAAAGCTATAAATATTCATGCTATTAAAACAAGAAGAAAAAAAGGGAGAAACATTTTCAAGTTCAACAGAAAGGAAGAAACAATTTTTTAAAATGCAACCCCCTTTTAAAAAACAAACCCTGCCCAAGCTGATAGTTTTAAACTTCATATTTAAGTACATTTCCAATTTCCTCACATCCTTACTTAGTATTCAGAACAATTTCCAACTATATTTAATACATCAGGCAAGAAAAACTAAATAGCTTTTTCTGAAACATTTATTTCACTGTAAGTATTCAGTTTATCCCCATCAAAACCACATATTACTAACAATATAATAAAACAGCTTCTTACAAGTACTCAAATATTGTTTTAACTTTAAAAAGCTATGTAATAATGAGTATATCATTTTCATTTGGAGTACATTTTCTATATCTTTCAGATTAGAATACTAATAAAACCTATTTGTTTCTTTTGAAAATATTTAAACTGTTCAAGTTATACCAATATATTTCATCTCATAATTAAAAAAATAGATGAAAAAACATAACAGAAAAATCTATTTAGTTTTGTCTAACATTGTGAAATAAAATCAAAGAAATACGAAATTTAAATTATATATTGACTTTAAGACTTTAAAATCCATTTGTTCATTTTTTTTTTTACACAGTGCTACACACAAGACACTGTACTACGTTGATCTCAGTTCCCATCTCTTCTATACCCAGAATTTAACTATTCAGTTGGGTAAAAATGAGACACACACACACACACACACACACACACACACTAATAAAATACAAAGCATATAACAAATAAAAACAAAAGGGTATTCGAGAAAATCTGTGTTTTAAAAGGCCAGATTAGGAAAATTTTAGGATGGGCAAGAAAGTGGGAATGCAGGTCAGGGCCCATGAACCTGTGGGATGATAGATTAGACCACATTATGAAAGGCCTTGAATTCTAGATTAATAAAACCGTATTTTTTTCTGCTTCTCTCCTATTGCATTCCTGTTTAAACCATTCACATCTCCTCATTATAGATAAGAAAAATACAATTTTATTAATTTACTGGTAGAATTCAAGAGATGTGAGTGGTTTAAACAAGTATGCAATATGAGAGAAACTGAGCTTAAAAAATAAACTGGATCAATGTGTCTGATCAATGTAAGCTGGCAGAGACCACCAGTGGGGAGATCACACACAGTTGCAATATTCCAGGCAGGAGGAGTAGAGACATATTAAAATATACATTAAAAAACAGAAATATAAAGAGAACACGTGAGTTTATGGAAATTAAAGGAGAGATATCAGGAGACATCACAGATGACTCCAGAATTTTGAACTGAGAGGATCCAAAAAAGAATGACAGGACCGAAAATGTGTAACATTCCAAACTCTCTTAGAAAGAAAAGATGCAATGATTTTTACAAGCAATATACAACAACAACATAGGAAGCCTCATGCTGATCATGAGGTTTTCAGGATAAATCATCTGCTTTCTTAATCTTATGCAATAAGAACTCAGAGGCTGCCCTGGGAGCCATGCGAACATCGGCATCAAGACGGCAGACCCAAGAGTCAACGCGCATCAGGGTTGCAGACCCAGCTCTGGCTCCTTCCAGCTCGGTGACCTTGGACACATGGCTCAGTTTCCTCAGCCTGAAATGGGAGTGGAAACTGCAGCGTGTTCCTAAAACTACTGCGGAGATCAAATCAGATGCTGAGTCTTTAGCAAGTGTCTGGCACCAAGTAAGAGCTGAATTAAAGATGGCAGGCATCATTATCATTTCTGATTTCTCCTCCATCTTTCAAGAGCAGCAGACACACACACACACACACACACACACACACAGACAATTAAATGCAAAGCATATAAAACACAACAACAAATGAGTATTAGAGAAATCTGTGTTTTAAAAGGCCAATTAGAAATATATTAGCATGGGCAAGAAAGTGGGAAAGCAGGTAAGGGCCCATAAACTCAAGGAATGATAGATCAGACCACATTATGAAAGGTCTTGAATTCCAGATTAATAAAATTGCATTTTTCTTATCTATAATGAGGAGATGTGAATGGTTTAAACAGGAAAGCAGTATGAGAGAAGCAGAAAAAATGACCTGCCTAAGGATATATGGTTATCACTGAGGACTAACAAGTTCTTGCTTTCATTCAATAATGTCTCCCCCATAAAGCGCTGTTTTGATGAAATCTGAATAAAACTTTATTATCATTTCCAACTGCAAAAAGCATCTCTGTGAGGAAGATGGAAAGTCACTGCCTGCTCCTGGTGATGTGCCAGAAAAAGAGCTTATTGGTGCAGATCAGCAAAACCAACAAGTAATCCCACCAGCTGGACCGGGGCTCAGCACCTACGCCCTGACTTGGGAATATCTGCCATGGCACCAACTCCAACAGTTAGGAGTCTCTTGCCAGAGACGCCATGCGCCCACTGGCAGGGTAACCCTCCGCCTCACCCAACTAGGTCAGGGCTGCTGCCTTGGCTGTAAGCAGCGGCTCAGGGACGAAAGGCCCAGAACAGTCATAGGCCAATTGCACGTTACTCTTAAAGTGCACCACTCACCCGCAGTGTCTACAATGCCGCGTGATGTGGCCGTCCTGGCCCAACTGGGCAAAGACAAGGCCAGATTGCTTTACACTTTACCAAAAGGTACAGCACACTTCAAGCCATGAATGCAGCCACCAGAACCACGGGAGAGAGACCCAAGGACAGGAGATGGAGCAGGGAGGACTCGTCACTGTTCATGTATCATCTATAGCAGGGGTGGGCAAACTTTTTGACTCGAGGGCCACAATGGGTTCTTAAACTGGACCGGAGGGCCGGAACAAAAGCATGGATGGAGTGTTTGTGTGAACTAATATAAATTCAAAGTAAACATCATTACATAAAAGGGTACAGTCTTTTTTTTTTTTTAGTTTTATTCATTTCAAACGGGCCGGATCCGGCCCGCGGGCCGTAGTTTGCCCACGGCTGATCTATAGTATAGATCATATAGACCACTTCCTATGGTATAGATCAGTGATGGCGAACCTTTTGAGCTCGGCGTGTCAGCATTTTGAAAAACCCTAACTTAACTCTGGTGCCGTGTCACATATAGAAATTTTTTGATATTTGCAACCACAGTAAAACAAAGACTTATATTTTTGATATTTATTTTATATATTTAAATGCCATTTAACAACAAAAAATCAACCAAAAAAATGAGTTTGTGTGTCACCTCTGACACGCATGTCATAGGTTCGCCATCACTGAATACCATAGGAAGTGTTTTTCTTAATCAGGGGCATATAACCTTTATTTTTATAATTAAATTTTCTGATCAAAGTCATATGACTAATTTGTGTCAAAAACCACTCAATTGCTCGAAACAAAGAAGGGTAGTGGCCATGCTACCCCTTACCCATCTCCAAGCCTAATTTTCAAAGGCACACACTATCTACTCTTCTGGTATTTTCATATTTTTCAATGACATATTTGTAATGCTATTTCTTGATTTTTGAACTATTAGACATTTTCTATTGACTCTCTGTGATAAAATAGGTCATGATTTACATCTCTTATACCACCCACCCAATATCCCCTCCTCACCCTCCCATGTAACAATTTTGGTTAAATCATTAATCAGTAGTCCATTTACATTATAATGACTACAGAAATAAATTTCACTATGGAGACAAGAATTATTTTGCCCAAATTAATTTTCTTGTACAACATTCTATTATTTCTGAAATTAATTGCCAAGTTATTAATAGTTTATTTTTCTAGGTAACTGACGTCCCCCTGCCCACAAATGATCAAACAGATCTGTCAAGTACCTGTCAATAATAGTTTTCTAAATAATAGAACACATCAGATAAATGATCAGTTCCTCTTAAATTTTTTCCTTGATATATCCTTTTTGGTTTCTTATGCCTGGCCTGGTTGGTCGCTTTATTGGGCCAATCCTTACCCATGCTCTTATTAGAGTTCCCTGTTTTCTGGTTGTAAGTCATCCTGCTTTTAGATTTATTCTCTTTTTGGCAGAAGTTTATTCTCCAGGTAACTTTCATAAGAAAGGATATATGAATAATACATTTTTAAAGTACCTGAAAATGCTGTTATTATATGCATACACTTGTTAGTTTGGCTGGGTATCAAAGTCTATGTTGAAATTAAATTTCATTCAGGATTTTTT